TGTTCTTCTTGTGTGGGGGCAGCCAAGAACTGATCTGGCAATAGATCTGGTACAGTCACATTGGAGGGCAGATTAAGGGGATAAAATAAAACCAAATTTGAATAATCTCTTTCCATATTGTCATTAAATGGAGATGCTTAAATATTGCATCTATACTTATTTTTAAGCAGACACTGTTAGCATCTTGAAAAGAAAGAGATTATTTTCCTACCACAGCTCTCTGCAATAGCCTTTAATACAAAAACTGACCTTCTCCCTTTTTTTACATTAAAGAAAAACCAATGCAGATCATAATGATATTAAAGTCAGATGATAGATGATATCACTTGTATTATCTTACCTCTGTCTCAGCTTCTCGTTTTCTCTGTGTTTGTCTTTCTTTCTGACTTTCCCTTTGTTTCTCGGCATCTCTATATCACGACAAGATAAATATACGATTACTGGACATAGCACTCTGTATGAGTGTATAGAGTGAGGTATGAACTCAATAAATTGATGATGAACGGCAATTATTCTGAACACCAAAATAAACTTTAAATTTAATTCCAGAGAAACTCCAGATTATATAAGATAAACTTTGTAAAGTCTATCCGTTTTCTGGAAATAAAGTTCCCCAAATATAAATAAATAAATGTTTCATCAAACTCATGATCAAAGTTCAAGTCATACCTAGGTTTGGCTTCTGTGAGTGAACTACATTGTAACCTATTTGGGAAAATTTTGGTTAACGTTCACAGGTGGTTGTGTTACAATAAATTGTCATAGTACAATAATGATATGGAAATGGACATAGCAATGTTATGTAGTGTAATAAGTGAAATAAGGTGTCTGTAGCAAAATACACTAAAAGTACCACAAGCATTTGTGAATGTTGCCCAACATTAAACAAAATAATTTGAAAACAAACAAAAAATATCCTAAATTTATATACATTGAATCGCTTACTTTTCCTTCTGTCGTTTAAGGTATGGTGTGACTATGAATGCCTTGACAAGTACAAATGCTGTGATTGGTACAATGGTTCCATAGAATATAGCTACAGGATTTATTTCATCTGATAAGTGCACAGGAAAACTATACGTCTGGTTTCCTCGATTTAATCTGTAATAGAAAAAACAAATTTGTACAGTACATGGCTAGACGTCTTGAAGGAAAGTGTGCGTGTATGCAGATGAATCCGGTTAAGACAGGTTTCCAGTTTACAGGAATCCGGTTTAGACAGGTTTCTGGTTCATGTGAATCCAGTTTAGACAGGTTTGCGGTTTACTTGAATCCGGTTTAGACAGGTTTGCGGTTTACTTGAATCCGGTTTAGACAGGTTTCCGGTTTACATGAATCCGGTTTAGACAGGTTTCCAGTTTACATGAATCTGGTTTAGACAGGTCTCCAGTTTACATGAATCCAGTTTAGACAGGTTCAAAAGGGTTTGACTTTACTTACTTAATTTTAAGAGTAATTCCTAATGGTATACCTATACTCATAGTAGCACCAAGTCTACTATGACGTGATATTTTCCGCTCACCGCCATATTCAAATGTAGCACCGAATGTACCAGCCCTGCAAGTGAAAAATAAATAATTATGACTATGAAAAGATTCTCTTCATAGGTTTGACCAAATGGCTAAATACTAGAGTTTGTAATAAAATCCCACAAAGAATTTACAATTGCCAAAAGAAAATCAAATTATGAAAATTCTGTGGTGAGACAGTAAAGGTATTCTTATACTCTGAGACAAGTAAAATTGCCATATATCAACTCACTTGTCTTGACAGAAAAGAGTAATATATTGGAAACATGCATTTCAGACAACTGAGTTTAGAAGTTTAAATGTCAAGCCATGATTGATATTCTGTAAATTACGCATATTTGTATGATAAAATACAACCAATATAGTAAGGGAGGTGATCAAAACCAAAGCAGCAGTTTCCGGCGTGGTATCCCCAGAGTTCTGTTGATTTCACTAAATAACTTTGAATAAAGTAACTCGAAAAAACGGCATTAGTTCTGTCAGACTATGAACAGCTTTAACTAGTCAATTTATTGAAAGATTGAACCAAACTACCATACATTGAACTGCTGACTACAAGGTGGTTGAAACAAAAGTGCAACCCCTTGTTGACGTAACAACTCTTGCAGTACTGGTTCAACATGACGGCCATGATGAAACCCACAGTTGTCTAAAATGACACAACTCCCTTCAGATAAAACCGGACTTTCAAATGCGTCTTCAGTTCTCATCAAATTCACCGTTTCAAAACCATTGGATGACCCATCAATAATGTTGACTCGCGAATTGCAGGCGGGGTCGGCAATCCTTGGTCCAATGTTGGCAACATGAAGTCTGGGTGCATCTCGAATGTATCAAAACACTCTTTATTGTAGCAAAACAATTCAATTGAGACAGTATTATTGCGCAATTCTAACTTAGATTTTACAGCAATGTGTAAAAGTTTTTATTTTAGTGCGCCAATCGACTATAGATTTCATAGGCTTATAGCAGATCATAGATAAATATTATAACGCAAGTAGTCTGATGTTTTACATTAACAAAGCAACGTCACAGCAAATATTATGGCCTGTAATATCTTGAAATTGATGCTTTGATGAATAAGCAAACACACAAAAATGTCCAAAAAGTACAAACATATGTGCGTTCAGGAATTGTTTATTTACATTCAAGTCTGTTTTACACCAAATTACGTTTT